TTTGAATCAATCTGACTGGATGATCTGGTTGATCTGGATCTATAAAGTGCCTTGAGATGAGATGTGTTATGAATTGGCGCTAAAGAAATAAACTGAATAGAATAAATTGATCCCAATACAAACTGTGCAAATAATGTATGCATTAGAAGAAATACATTTTTGATCAGATAAAGGAACCATGTCCCTAAAACATAAATTAGGTCTGTTTGGAGAAATGAAGGTTATAAAGTCAAGCAACAGCCAGGAGAAGGATCTGTGATAACCACCCTGTGTGCTCCTAGGGTGCACTCAGATATTTTATTGGTTTGTCTTTTTCTTTCTAGGAAATGATCTACTGTAGATCACTGAATAACCAGAAGTTCTATGAATTCATTGAATTCCTCCAGACTGTGATCAGTTCCAATATCTACTCCTTCAGAAAGCCAGGAGAAATTCGGAATCTAAATGTAAGTTTTTTCTTTTAGGCCTCTAAAATCAACGGTCTGTGTGGAACCAGAACTTTCCATCATCAAGGCCTCAGACCGGATCCTGCTGGGACTTACTTTGAGACGCAGTGAGCCGCAGTCAGAACCCATTGGTTGTTAATCAGGGATCCTCCACAGAAGTGAGATGATTTGTGCAGACTGACCTGCCAGGGCCAGCTGCCAGCAGGAGCTGCCTGTCCTCCAACGATCCTGGTGTTCCGCTGTGGCCGACCACAGTCTGCAGGGAAATGGACATGAATCCACTTCTTCAGTAAAATCTGCTAAATGATGCTGACTTCCTGTTCATCTGCCAGTGATGCAGAAGAGGGAAGTATTGAATGGTTGTAGGCAATGTGGACAGAAACAGACTCACCAGAGAGCTGAGATTTAGACTCTGAAAAACAGAAAGAATAGAGATAGTATTGGACATGTTTCTTCATGCTAGTTTAGGCACAATCCAACATCATTATTTAGAAGCATAAATAATTGAAGATGTATGTTCATAGCATGCATGGTCTGGTCTGCTCTGGGGTTCCTGATCAGACGACCCAATGACTCCGTTCAACGTAAAAATAAACACAATAAATGTTGATTGTGCTTCTCACCTTGATATCTACTTTACCAAAGTTCTCACAAACACAAGCATTAGATCATTAAAAACAGACACAGCCACTCGCTTTCTAAAGCCGCTTTCTCTCTGAAATTAGCCGATCGACCCAGGTTTAACACAAGTTATCCTGCCATCACGCTGGATTAGTGTTGATGATGTCACCACTGCCACACAAATCAGTAAACAATGGAGTGCAACATGGAGGAGAGCCAGGGGTGTCATTTATTAATTCCCTCTCAATGTTAATTAACTGTAAGCATAGTTATTTTGGCTTGTTAGATCAAAAGCGACTGGCGTGATGATGTCACTATGTTGCGCTCTACGATACCAGGTATATTAGCGGGTCGACCCAGATCCTATGTTTTCTCTTTGATCTCATTACTCTATTAGAGCAGTTTTTCTTCTATTCCATGTTTGTCGTATTTCTGGTGATTTTCTTGGACATAACGTAACGACTCTTTAGACCAGTTTAACCAGTTTGTGTGAAAGAAATGTAAACACAGACCAGTTTCCTTTAAGCACGGAACATACTGATCATATTTGAGGTTTTTCT